ACGATTGAAAAACCAACCCAGTGGTTGAATGCCTAAATGGATCGAACATGGATATTTTCCCCCTGTGGCCCAATTGCTTCAATTGACTCAAACTCTATGCCCAGCACTGCACCTTGGTCATCCCATCCCTAACCCAAAATTTTCACCGGCTGCCCAAAGTAAATAATGTAAATTTTTAAATTTCGAATTAAATTTTTAATTTTTAAATGTAAATATCAATGTTTAATAAAGTGAATTTATGAATTTTAATTTAAGTTTTAATTAAATCAAATGACATGTTTAAAGTTCAATTTTTTTTTTTAAGTCAAGATTGATTGCACTATTCTTTACCTATAAACTTTTTGTGATTTACTTTTTCAAGGAGAGATTGAAGGAATAAGATAGAAATTGAGATGGATTTCAAAATAGTGCCACAAGGAGACAATCCCCAACAAAAGAAAGTGTTGATTCATGTTTTGATCCTTCTTTGGTTTGGGAGCAACGGAAGAAGTAAGAACGAACTGCATTCGTCTCAACGGTGGTGATCAAAGGGTAAATACGATTGAATGAGGAAGGAAGACTTGTGACAAAAGGACAGAAAGAACGAAGGCAGGAAGCAATTTAAATGGCTTCCGGGGAACAAAGGAAGAAGTGGTAGCTAAAATGTCAAATAGAGGAAAACAGGAGACGCCATTAGTTTCGTGCATTTTGTGGTCTCTACTCTCGAGTTTAAACACATATCAAAATATGATTTGCTTAACATATATCCCTCGTGGTATATCCTAGATATGCTAGACTTTCTCCACATAAGATTGTTTTTAATGAAGTTCCGTTAAGTAATCATTTTTTTTTTTTTTGTAATATCAGAAATTACTAAAGACTGGAGAATTTTTTAAATAATTAATGGGAATCGAATACTAAAACTTGAAATGAACCATTAAGTCAAAGCACTCGATTCAATCTCTTTTTATTGTTGTGATGCTCAACAGCTAAAATATTAATTTAGTATCTTATTTGTCAAATATATACTAATTCTACTTGTTAAATTTCAAATAAAATACCAAAAAATATTCTTAAATTTTTAACTTTTAATACCAATTTCATTTTGAGTCTCTTATTTAATATTTTAAATTATATTAAATTATAAAATTAAGATCCTTAAATAATAATAATAATAAAAAAAGCTCCGATATCAAAAGCCCTCTTTTAATTCAAAAATTAATAATTTACGATATAACATAATATAATTTCAGCTACAAATCAATTTTTCATTTCATTTTTAAGTCTACAAAAATGAGGCACGTTTAGTTGAAAAGAAAATCAATTCACACCTTTTTTTTTAAAAAGAAGTAAGGTGTAAAAGAAAAAACAAATAAGGTTATGAGCTGGCATTTTTCACTTTCCACCTCAAATTCCTTCCATCACAATTTCACAAACCCCAACACAAACCAACACAAAGACCAAAAAAAACCACGTTAGATTCCCACCATCACATAATCCCCACAGGCTTTCTCAGAAGATGACTGACATGTTGCAACAAGCAAAATTGATGCCCCTGGGAGTGGAAGGACAGCTGTCTATGCTTTCAGAGTCTGACTGGTCCATAAACTCAAACCAAAGGATTAAAGTCTAAGCTACTTTGCGTCGCTGGCCTGGCCATGGAATGAAAAGCCAACAAGCTAGGTCAGCAATTGATGCCCCGGGACTGAATTGTGAACTGATGTAAACAGAATGCGACTTGGACTAGTGCACTCAAACTTTAATTGCAGAAATGTAAACTAAGCTCATTGAAGATAACATGGAACTTTAAAAATCAAATTAATGAGATTGCATTTAAATGAAAATTGACATTTGCAAAAACATGAATTAATAACCATAAGTATAGAATGCACTGTTGAGTCTTACAAAGGGAACTTATGAAGCCAAAAGAACAAGTCCCAAATAAAACAACTAAAATTTCAAATTACAGAGCTGGAGAAACAACTCTCGTAACCTACTAAAGCATTCCTAAAAGTAATTATGTTAAGTAATGTTGAGAAGAGAAGAGCATGCCTTCTTTCAATTGTTCTGAATCCCTCGTATTTATCTCTGATGAATGCCCAAAAAATAACTTGTAACCACCCTTAACTGCAAAAAACGTGACCATAATTGCCTCATCTAATTGAACAGGTTATCAAGACTTGGTCAATTCCTGCATCAAAACTCACCAATCATCACCTACTTTCTTTTCTTCAAACTCTAGATCTCCCGTGATCCATTTGTTAAATTTGACTGATATTACTTAACATATCATAGACACTATCTCCTATAATTTAGATTCAATCAATTGTTTCAAATCAATAGTGTCAACCATTTGTTAGGCCATACCCCAAATGTGGGGTGACTTAATCGTAACCACTCAATTGAATCACAAGACAAGTAGCACCATCTAATAATAATGCAATTTATTATGTAAACAGTATCATTCTCTATGTGGTGTTAATTAATTGATTAAATTAATGTCCACCATTTTCCAATACAACATTGATGCAAAAATCATAAATTTATTGCAACTTAACCTCTCCCATTAGTTCACATGATAAAAAAACCACCAGATTCATACATAGGTTTTTCTATTTGGGCACAGATTATGTACAATAAATATATTTTCTGCATTAATTCAAAATTGAAAAGATAAATTTAAACATTTCTTTTATCAATCAATAAAATAAGAATATATTGAAAAATTATTAGTCAATTGAGAAGACCATGATAAACTTATCTACAATGAATAATAAGCTAAGTTGCTTTAAGGTCAAAAGCAATAAAACACATACAAAGAGCGTCTCCAATGAAATCTCTTTCCGTAAGAGAAGAAACCTTTATCTACCAAAGAAGAGACTTTTATTTACCAAAAACCAAAAGACTTTCTCATAAGAGACTCTAATGGGAAAGAGATCTCAGTAGAGATGCTCTTAGTATGTTTGTTATTATATGAAGCCCAAAAATTTTTTAAAAAAAACTACTCCCTTATCCAAAGACTAAGAAACAACAATTATCATTTTGATATTTATGCAAACTACAGGTATAGAATTGTAAATAAGCCAAACCAAATAATGGGATACTCAAACTCAAGCTAGAGATCAAGTCAAGTTCCAGCTTCATCAAGCTTGGAAGGGTCAAGCTCAATGTGAGCTCGATTCCACAAACTCACAAATAGCTTGAGAGCTTGAGTTGCCCCATTCCAAGGAACAGACAGCCCAAATGCTAAATAAGGTGTATCAGATTCGCCCCATATGAATGACCTCAAATTTTAGGTAAGTGTTATAGTCAAAATTTGTAACAAACTAGCAGGACACTCTTTTTGAAAATTGTAACCATCTAGTAACACCCTCCCCTACATAAAATATAGTTGAATTTAACATAAAAACTTCATGCTCTATAATAAAGAGACAAATAGAAACATTAAGATCCCAGCTCGGTATGATCCACTTGAATGAACAAGTTACACTAATATTAATTAATTTCATTAACAAAACAGAAAATCAATATGCAGTCGGTAGAGCATTGTGCTTTTTATTGCATGCCATTGATGGGCTCCATCAATGATTATAAAATATATAGTCTGCTACAAAGTTGCTAACTCTTGAAAAAAATTGTTTATGCCTAATTAGCTATATATGAGATGCATTTTTTTTCATCAAAATAAATTTTAAAACTATTTCAATAAATTTCGGGGGTAAATGGTTAACTAAAATAAAATATATAGATATATATATATATAACGAAATAAAAATTAAGAGGGTGAAATAGGAAATATAAAATATCCGAAGCTATCTAGGAAAGGAACGGAGGGAGATCGTTCCTTACCCTCAAACCGATTCGGGTTGATCTCTGCCTCTGTCTGAACCAAACGATGTCGTTTTAATCATCAACTTCTGGTTATTCTGGAGGCAATGGTAAAGCCTAATGCAGGAAAAAATATATATAAATATTTGACTAAAATAAAAAATAAATAAAACTTTTTAAATGGAAGAAAAATTAGGTAGGGATGAAGAAAATGTCCAAGGCTGCTTGGGGGGCAATTGATGGAGGAATTGCAAAGAGCCCCCTCAAAAGGCCTCAGGCGAAGGTGGCCAAAACCATCGACGGACGAATTTGATCTCCGATTAATCTCCGCCTCCTAACTAAGCCAGATATGAAATTATTAGTTCATATGGCTACTCAAAGAGGCGGAATTCGGTGAGGAAATGGAAGTAGAATTCCGAAACTGGAGACAGAACGAGAAGAAGAAAGGGGCAGTTTGGAAAGAGGAGACTCATGCTGCTCTGCCTCAAACTGGGATTAGGGTTTTAAAGTACACGAGCCGGCGGTTAGGGTTTCCCCTTGCGATTATATGGTGGCGGTCTGCACCTGTAATTACGCAAATGCCATAGTTATTTTTATTTATTCATTTATTTTCATTTATTTATTAGATAATTAAAGGTCGGTTAAATTAGGCTTAATGCCAACTGTAGTTCTCGTACTTTGTGAAAATGTTCATTACCATCCCTCTACTAAGGAAATGTTCAATGTTATCCCTCTATTTTCCTTACAATATGAATGTCATCCCTTTACTACAACTTTTTTCTTCAATGTCACCCCTCATTGGATGCCATCCACATTTTCATTAATTTTGACTGTTAATTACTAATAGTCAAAGGTTTAACTTTGTTTATTATTTTTTTGCCAAATAAGACAAGTGGGACCAATTCCCTTTTTTTTTTTTCTTTTTGGTTATGTATTTTTGTTTCTAGTTTGCAGAGGATATGGCGTGGAAAAATAGTGATAACAGAGGAATTGGCACAAAAAGAATGTGGCCAAAATAGGCGGCAAAATTTTTTTTTCTTATAGAGACTAATAGATGTCGACTTACAATGCCAAATTACAACAGAGCAAGCAATAAAGCAAGGTTTACAGAAAATAACAGATGCCAAATCACAATGCCTCTAATCTACTGCAGTTCTGTTTTTTTAGTTAAGTCTTGTTTTTCTGTTATGTTCTGTACAACTAAATGGTTACTTGTAATGACATTGCAATGTTTACAATGAAAGTAAATCTTTTGCCTACTTTAGTAAATCTTGCATTTATATAGTTGAAAATGCTCAAAAGATTGACATATTTTGCCAAATAACATGACCAAAAAGGAGTCATATATTCCATTTCAATTTACAGTACATAGGAGATTGTCTTGGCTTGGCATAAGGGATCCATTATAAAAGTAGACTAAAAGACCCTTTACAAATGCAAATAGTTAACACAACTTAATTGCCAAATAAGCATTACTGCAAAAAACACATTTTCAAATTCAACCAACTTGAAGCAAGCATCTCATGATCTCTAAGCTTTTTTCCCACTTCAAAGTTCAAATTCTTCAAATAGTTAATCTCTCTATGCAGGTCCAAATTCTCTCTTTTCAATTACAATAGCTCATTCATTAGTGTTTGCTCCTTATCCCAACAACATGTTATCTAGAATTCAGCTCAAGCCTCATCATCCTTCTACAACAATATAAAACAAAAACTATCTATATCAAAATCTAAATCAACCATAATATCACAACAGATATCACAACCCAAAATCAATAACAATTAATAACAGATATCACCAACCCAAAATCAACAAGAAAATCCATAATTAATAACAGATCTCACCAACCCAAAAAAACACAAAATCAACAAGAAAAATCATGATTGACAATAGCTGTCACAACCCAAAATCAACACAAAATCAACAAGAAATCCACGGTTAACAGCAGCTTGCTCAAATACGTTCTAGGTTGGATGATTCCATGATTGGGTGCAGAAAAGCAAGATGATTTCTGGCAACTTTGGGTTCGGCATATTAAGTGATTATTTTTGCGCGTCCCAATGGCTATGTGTCAATTTGCTTGGAATGAGCCGTGATATAAGGAGCTAATCTACGAGAGGTGAGTGGGGAGGCGAGTACGAGGAAGAGTTTGCGAGATGTTTTAAGTGTTTTGTTTCTAATTTTGGCCCCAAATGCCTAAAACAACATTATTCACGAAGTTTTGCGGTTTCTTTTTAACTATTTGTTATATTTTGTAATTGGAAACATATCGGCCAAAATTAGCAATACTGACCAATACACAAAAAATAGCATGGTAAATTGAATTTTGGCCGGTATGGCTGAGAAATTATGGTATAAGGATCTATATTGTGTCGATTTTATGCCATATCTGGTACATATCAACTACCAAGATTGACAACCCTATGACAAACAATACATGGCTAAGGATAAATATATTTCCAATTGATTAGCTATAGATTCAAGCTATACAAATTATAAGTAGCATTTTTACTTTCACACACTAGGTGAATTTACTGATTTAAAAATAGAAAAAATTTAAAAATAAATAATGAACATATAAGTAATTAAGTATACAAAGTGATTATTTTTATGTATCTCAATAGTTATGTATGGATTTACTTGGAATGAACTGAGATCTAAGGAACTAAAGGCAAGGAGCCAAGGATGAGGAAGAGTCTACGAGATGTTTAGAGGGTTTTGTTTCTAATTTTGGCTCCAAATGCCTAAAACAACATCATTTAAGGATTTTTTTTAAAAAAAATAAATTAGTGGTTGTTTTTGGTAGGTTAAATACCCAATTCGATCCCTCAACTTTCATTTCTGAACTTAGTTCGTTCTTTAACTTCAACAAGGACCAAAATCGTCTTTAAAGTTTATTTTTTCATAACCAAATTGGTCCTTTTGTGACGGAAGTGCCCACCTGGCACATTAAGTCTCCACAATTTAGTTCTTTTAATTTCTAAATGCTTAGTTACAACCCACAAAGTCAAAATCAAGAATCCATTTCAATACTCCAAATCCATTTTCCTCTCTCCATTTATGCACCTTGCTCCACACTCTACTTTCTTCTTCCAAATTCCATCGCACTTCGTACTACACTTCATTGTTCTCAAGGTTGGCGGCGTTGAAAACCTTTGCAAGCTCAACGATTTTCTAAGGGGCTTCTATTATTGGCACGAAATCAAAGGGGTTTGGGTGGAGAACAAAGGCGACGATCACAGACACAAGGATGGTGACAGAGAAAAGTGAAGGGAAGAAGGTGAGTGTCTTTGATTTGGAGGAGGATCTGGTGGTGGCCCTTGCAAAATACACCACTGACCTACTGATAAGGTCTCCAAGATCTCTGGTTGTCTCGCCATCATCGTCGCCACAATAAAGACTTAGAGACCTAGGTTTTCAAACACAGTGAATGATGATCAACCTAATCCTTCCTTTTCTCCTTTGGAAATCGCAGTAGATAAGTCAAGTTTTTCCCATTTGTATGAGGAAATGTTGGGGTTTTTTGTCTCATGTCCATGCACTGGGATTTGGAGTATTGAAATGGATTCTTGATTTTGACTTTGTGGGTTGTTCTTATTGCTTTCTAGTGATGAGATTTTTGCTAACTAGACTTGATCAAGAAACCCGAATTTTGATTTGGGTTTTTCACTAGAGAAGATGAAGATGAAATGTAATTTGGGATTCTCGTTGGAAAAAATGAAAAACCCAATCCAAAAATTAAAATTTTTTCCTAAATTATTTAATAAATCAATTAATTTAATATATTTTATGAGATTATAATAACCAAATTAATTATGAGTTAATTGCTCTCTTAATTATCTGTATTAAATACAGCAATCAATTAATATAATCTTTTAAATTTATTAAGAATGAGTCAGCTAAGATTTTTTTTCTATTCTCATTTCTTAACAATATTATATTTAATAATTTTTACCATATCATCAATTAAGTATTGTGTTTTTCCCACATAAGCATTTGAGAATTAGAAGAATTAAATTGTGGAGACTTAACGTGCCAAGTGGGCATTTATGTCACAGAAGGACCAATTTGGTTATGGGAAAATAAACTTTAAGGATGATTTGGGTCCTTTTTAAAGTTAAAGGACGAACTAAGTTTAGAAATAAAAGTTGAGGAACCAAATTGGATATTTAACCTTTTTAGAAATGGAAAGTGTACCAGCCGAAATTGGCAATATCAACCAATACACAAAATATACATTGAATTTTAGTTGGTACAGTCAAAAAATTAACTAGTACAATATGAGGCCCTCTGTTGTATTATTTTATGCCAAATCTAGTACATACTGGCCGAATACATACAAAGATTGACAACTTTGGGCCAAACGGTACATGGATGAGAAGGAGAAATAGATTTTCAATTAATTAGCTATAGAATCAAGATATACAAATTACAAGGTATATAAAAGATAATGGAATTTTTTTTTACAATAATTGAAAATATTTTTCAATTAAATGAACTATTTAACAAAAATTATATGTAGAAAAAAATGAAAATTTCAATTATAATTTATATATTTTATTAAATTTTTATTTAAAATTAGTATTCAAAAATTTTAAAAAAAATTAAAGTAGAGGGAGATAATAATAAAATAACAAATGGATCATTAGTTAGAACCAAACATATCACATCAATTACACAAGAAAGGGTGATGAGAATAAAATTATCAATAATAAATGGGCAAATGGTGACAACAAGATGAGGAGAAAATGTGAAACTGAAATTCTCAATGCTTCGTCATCCCCATCCTAAATTCATACCTCCAGTAATTCCAATTGGGGAAAATGAATAGAGCTCCAGCGAAATGAACTTTACAACAAACCAACCAAGATAAGATCAAAAAAATGTTGGTATAAAGAAAAGTAATTCCATTTAGAAAAGGAGGCCAAATGCTAGAGCAAAGAGAGAAGCAAACATGGCAGGGACGAAGGTGGTGGCATCGGAGGTAGGAGCAGGTGCAGGGGCATTAGCAGCGGAAACATTTTGGATGGCAGAAACCGCCATTAAGACAACCACAAGGGCCAAGAACAGTCTCATCTTCAATGCCTCCATTGTTGATCTCTGTAAATTTTTGTTGGAAAGTTTGAGAAATTTAAAATTTGTGGAAAGAAGAGAGGAGAATGTGAGGGACAGATGATGATGGGGTGACAAAAATGGGGCATATATAGGTGTGTTTTGGGGGGGGGGGGGGGGGGGGGGGGTTTGGGGGGGGTAAGCTAAAACATAGAAGGCAAGGATAGGTTGCCTGGGGAAACCGTTGCTTCAAATTATACACACAACACAAAGGCATTGTTCCATAATTGTCTTACAGCTGCCACTGTCCATTAGTTGGGACAGGGTGTTTCTGGCTTTTAGGTGCCATACAGCTATTGCCAACGATTTTTTTGGACACCTTTTTGTGGGGTCCTGTCCTTAGCTGCCACTTTTTGTTTTTTGTTTTTTTTTATTGGGGAACCTCATTTTTATTTAAAAATAAAAAATTATACCGTAGAAAATTATATAGTGTTTGGAATTGGAAGGGACAGTTCTGTCATGGAAATGGTTGAGTACCATTGATTTTATTATTGTTATCAAAATAGTTAAATTTTTGTTTTAAGTTTTTTTATTAAAAATAATTAATAATTGATAAAATATTTAATAAATTAAAATAATTTATAAATAAATATTTTTAAATATCATAATAAACTGTTTAAGAAAGTAATTATAAACTGAAAAAATTACAAATAAAATTAATAATTTTAACAAAACAAAGATCACCTTAATAAAATGGTTGCCTTAACCTCAGCCTGCTGTCCCCATGTAATGGATGTTCTAACATGAAGATTGTGAGGGTAACATTGGAGTTGCAGGAGCATTACTAAAAATAGAATATTACTTATATTTATTATGGTTGTTATTTTTTATTTTTTATTTTGATTTTTATAAATTTTATAATTTTAAACAAAAAAACTTATTTAATTTTATGTGTTTTTGTAATATATTATTATAATTATAAGAAAATAATAATAATAATAATTTTAATACTATAAAAAATTAATATTTTTAATTGATACTTTTAAAAAATTTTCTTAAATAAATTATTAATTTTTAATAATTATAAATTTTTAAAAATTAAAAATCACATACACACTAAATATATTCTTAATTTTTGTTTGAGAAATTTTACAGAAGATATTTTATTGGCTTTTAAAATAAATATTTCTCTATTAGAAATGCTTTGCTGATAAGCTGTAGGAACCTTGCATTCTCAGGCTGTCACTAATTTTTCTTTTCTTAGTAAACGGGCTGTTACTATTTACCAAATTCAGATCACATGCTCCAGCTATCCAGTTGATATTTTCTTCTCTTCTAGTTTCTAGAAAATGCTGTGTGGGTAGGGCTAATTAACAGGGGTTTGTTTAATTTGTATTATGAGATATAAGTAAAGAGTGTATTCATTATATTTTTTTACATTTAATTATATATTTTAACATTTAATTTTTATAAAAAATTAAAAAAAATTAATCTTATTTTTATCATTAATGTCATGTCATTGTATACCGTTGATAAAATTAAAATTAATTTTTAATTTTTTAATATAAATTAATTTTAAAAAAGGATAAATACAACTTTATCATGTGTTTTTTAAGTAGCTAGGTTATAAATTCTCAATTAACAAAGGTGTCCTTATTGGATAAGGAACAACCCTAAGATTAGGAGCTCGAGATTTGTTTAATACTTTATATTATAGGATAATATTTTTTTAACAAAGTTGCAGTTATATTTTCATGAAGGATTTTTCTTAGACACAGGTTAATATTATTTTTTTACAATAAATTTATATAAAAAAATGTAAAAATAAACATTAATTTTAATATTAATATTATGTAAATAAATTTAATTGAATAAATATTAAATAAAATGTTACTTTTTAGTTTTTTGAGATTCTTAACTTATATTTTTAGAACACAAGTTTAAAAAAAACACCATTTCATGAAATGCAGAGATTATTGTCATGTACTTAATCATTAATGTCACATCTTTTTAGGCTAAATTTAATATTTTTATTAGCTATGAGTTTTTTAAATATATACTATAAAAGCTTAAGTTTAGGATTTCTTTTATAAATATATATAATATAAAAATTAATATTAATTTTAATACGAGTATCAAGTGAATGTAATTTAATTAAATAGTTAATAGTATTCTAACCATCTATTGAGGATACAAGAAGAGCCACCAACAACACTTGTTCGAATGTAGCAATAACATATTTGAAGAATTAGTATTCATTAATTTGAATTTTTTAATTTAAGGATCAAGATTAGATAATTAAATTTTTGTGTTGTCAACGAATTAACTTTCAATTAAAAAAATAAAAACTCGTTTAAATGCCAAGAAAACCAAATACCAACAATCTCACAAGCATTACAAGAATCATCTAAGACATGATGCCCTTCCAAGGATCCAGCTTCTGCCAACCCATTCTAGGTTATGCCTAGGAACCGTCAAGCAAACCCTATGGTTTTCAACTCGTCATAAACAAAGTTGCTCACCTGTCTACGTTTCACTGCTGATAACCAACAATACCTGCTATGCTTTGCCACCCCCGCTAATTGCCCTGCACAACCACCAAAGCTGCCTCCGAAAAGCTTTGCTCTTCCAAACCAGCCACCAACCACCGAAAAATAGCCACCCACAAACCCAAAACCACCAGCCACCAACCCGCATCAACGAGCACTACAACAAATGGGATTTTTAGTTACAAAAAATTATGACGAATGTTGAAATCAATACCATAACTCTTTACATTTGTGACAGAATTTAAAAATTTGTTACAAATACAAGTATATTTAATAATGATAAAAAATTCCTCATTAAAAATATATTTTATCACTGAAAAATAATCACAAATAAAAAATAAGTTTGTAACAATAAAAATCATCATTATAACTCATCCTAATTATGATAAATTTCAAATATAAACCATATATACTTTACACATTCAACGATGACCAAATAATTTATCACTAAAAAATATATTTCGTCACTAAAAATTGTTACAAAAAAATACATACTTGTGATGATAAAAATCATCTCTACAATTTAGTCTTATTTAAATTTCTTCTAATCAATACATCCCACGTCGATAAAAAAAACACATAAGAAAATAAGGGTTTACACTATAAATATATCTTACATCAATGAGAAATATTTAAGAAAATAAAATTTTGCACTATAAAATTAGTGACTACTTGCAAACTAATTAACTGACACTTGTGCTTAATTTTATTTATTTGAGTTCTATTTGAGCAATATAATGTGAAACTCAGTAAAACTTGAGTTTAGTTTGGACCTGATTAATTTTAATTAAAATTGATTAGTATTGAAATGATAATATTTTTATTAAACTTTTGTGATAAATATATATCAATTTTTTTGTGATAGAATTTTTGTTATAGTATTTGTATTGTAATTATATAAATATCTTTTTGATTTAATTAATTTTAATAATTAATGACTAAATTTTTCATCACAATTGCATTTATGACTTTTTTTTTGTCACTCAATTATAACATTTGTGATGAAAATTATTGTAACAATTTTTTTTTTTTTGTGATGAGTAAATTTGTTATAAATAACTCATTAATAATATAAATTTTTTTCGTCACTATAAAATTCTTTTATGTAATAAATGTCAAATTCATTACTAAGAGTATTAGTGACAAAAGTTTTACTAATTATTTAAATTTCATCCCTAATTTTAGTTAGTGACAAAAAATAAAGGTTCAGTTTTTTTTTTAGTACATCTGATGATGGCTATACAAGAAAGAATAGCTCTCCCCTATTCCCAAATCCGTCCTCACCCGACTCAAGGTTCGAGATCTCCAACTTGGAGTTTCAAATTCGTAACCGTTGAACCATGGGGGTAAAATAAAGGTTTAAAGACTAATAATTTAATCACTAAATATAGATTTTCTTGCAGTGAAACCACCCCAACCTACTCTCAAATGCCAAAAAACCAGCAGCTACAAATCCAAAACCACCAGCCGCCAACCTGTAATCTACAAGTCACCAAAACCATTCTCAATCGCATTGAAGCAGAAAGATTTTTTTTTTATAGTTTTATTTCTATAGATACAATCGGTGAAGAGAGAAAAAAAATAGTGAAATTGATAAATTCTAAGGAAAATAGGGAAGCAAAGAAAAATGAAGGAATCACAAAATGATTTTTAAGGAGAGAAACCCCAGAAGAAGAAAT